AATAACCGGAAATACCAAGCAAATGCTACCCCGACGGTCGGTTGCTATTGTCAATATTAATATAATAATGATTTATTTTTTAATAGTCACACTCGATTACGCCGATTTTCTTGTTTCACCTCTTTTAGCAGAAACAAAGGCTACATCAATGTATTAAATCGATGTTAATCCATGCGTGTGGATGTGGAATTAACGGACGTGACGTTGTGCGATTGCGTTGCCAGGCAACAGCTTCGGTTAATGCTAATTTACAAACTCTTCAACTACAACCGTAGTTATATTTAAAAACATGTTAGAAGGCCTCACGAAATACTTTAATGTAAATTTAAATTTAAATGTGAAGTAATGTGTGTATAACAAAATACATCCGTCATAAACGAAACCGGAAACAGACGTAGGCAAGATCCTCAGCTCGGTGATTTTGGATGGTTTAGCCGCAATGCACGCTGGGATTTGGTGTTTATTTGATGTGAAATCTGAAAACGTTTTTTAAAAATAAAATAATACTTTATTCCGAGTGTGCTTGCTTTTCTCTTTGAAAGTCATCACATAACGGCCTTGTAATACACGGTTCGGCTGCATTAAGTATTACATATCTGCTGTAATTCTCTATTTATAGAGCCCTGCTGAGAAGACTTCTAGACAAACAGAACTGCCGCCAAAACTGAAAATGTGACGTGGATCATAAATATATAAGCAATTACACAACATCTTACATTTCTTCAACAATACCGTGTAACGATAGAATAGAGACGAGATGGTATTTGTTTTTGTTCTTATTTTGGCTTATTTATTTTGGCAAGTATATTATTGACTATTGACTATATGAAGTCAATACTATTGACTATTGACTATATTAAGTCAAGAAGCCTAATAAAACGATACGATTTTGATGTATTGTTTCCATACGACATTTTGGAAGCAAATATTGAACTTTCTACAGTAATATTGTACTTTTACTCTACTATTAAAAATATCACGATACAATTAATAAAGTTTCTTCATATTTACATATTTCATTCAATGCTTTGAACATTATCTAATCATTAATATTCCTTGTTCTTTTATCTTACAAAATAAATTCTTCATGGTACAATAGCCGTTAAATAGGCCCTATTATGCTTTGTGGGATTTTCCCTTTTCTGTAGTTTGTCATATGGATTTCTGTGCATGTCAATGGTCTGCAAAGGATTCCTTTGTTCCCTCCAGATGGAATTTTCTTTCTCTTTTTGAACATGAAAGCATGGAGACATGTCCCAGAAGAGGCGCTAAATACGAACCTGAAAATGAGCAGAATGTGGCCTCTTTAATTGGCCCATGATGCTTACCACCTGCAGTTCACAGTTTATCCACTTCTTTATTACCAAAAGACTACAGACGGCAGCGATCCAGGACTCTTTTCATCCCCGCCAAATCATTTCTGTGCGGACTATCAGAGCCAAACAGAAGCCCTGTGTTAGATGTTTTCCCACAATACACTGAGAGGGGGGGAATAACAGGGAGCCGGGGTTTGTTTGTCTAAATCCAACTGTGAAGTCTGGATCCAAACACTCACTCACCCCACAACAACCCTGTTACCTTGGGTAACCCATAACCCTAACTCTAAATACATTTGAAATGATTTCACTTTTTGGTTAGACATTTGAAGAAAAAATTGGTGTGATACGCAGCTATTGTGCCTATTATTTTCTTTCTTTAAAAGAGGATAAAACCATTTTGGACGTTTATGAATTTGTGGAAATAGTTTCTAAGTTTGCATATTAAGCAAATTAGATTGTATGTGATGTTAAATGGAGTTCATTTGGAAAACATGGAAGTACATTTATTGAACAAATATATTGTATTTTCTGTTGTATTGAGTTTGCTTCTTCATTTCATAATATGGTGGAGGAAAATGTTCATATATTCATATCATTTCATGTTTTCCCTCTGTCATTTTGCTTTTGTGGTTCCTAAATTGCGTTATTTGTATTCCACATTTAACATTTGCTGCATGACAAGTGTTAATTCCAAAGGCTAAATTCTAACAAATATGGATTAAAGGAGACTTTTTGTTAGCAATAGTGTATGTGCATTATAAACCCATCCTAATCTGGTTAATGTTCCCTTCAAATAGCAGGGAAATATGGTGCCCTTGGCTTTAGACCAGGTTTTTTTTGGTTAGGTGCTCAAGCTAGCAATATGCAAAAAGACTGCCTGCCTGAACATATCTCATTTTAACATCAACACTATGTGTACATACATGGGCACAAGTATATATAGGGCCTACAGTGATACTTACACAATGTTGGCACTTAGCGTTAAAAGGACATTCTTCTGAAACTAGCTTTGACTGTTGTACTGCGCGGATGTGAGAAAGGGCGCTCTAAAATAAATATGTATCCACTTCAATGAGTCTTTCAGATTTACAACTAGATTATGAAAGTCTTTCTTTGAAATCTAGTAAAGTTCATCGGGGAAACACACAGTTTATCAGCTAAAGTCACCTAAGATCCGAGTGGAAACTTTATGATTCAGTAGGAACTCTCAGGACATTAATACATGCTCCCGTCTCTTTTTATAAATGCACATATCTCAGGCTACATGGTTTCTGTCCTGGCAGCTACCAGCTGTGGGTGAAAGTATCAACAAGACATTAATATGAGCAGACAGAAAACATAAAGCAGTCCCAGTATTTTATGACTTGTGTATAAACCCGGATTTAAACAGCGTGCGTGATGTGTTAAAAAAACCCTTAAACATAGTAAACCCTGAGCCAGATAAGGGTAATAACTTATCATTAAGTTTCTCAACTCTTATTTATTTCTTATTTTTGATATTTATGATTTATTTTTGGCACATTTTTCATTCCAGGGGAAAAAAAGGGTTTGCGAAAGTTGTTTCATTTAAGAAAAATAAATAAAATAAATATTTTTCTTTTCTTTTGAAAAAGGTGCAAAAGAAATTCTAAAATGAAAAAGGTATAAAAGATTACAAATAAATATATATAAAAAACATAACAAATATTTTTACATATTATATAAACATAAAAAGTGAAAGATACGTTTATTTTATAAATATATTTATATTTACATAAGACGTTTACGATTGTACACATTGCAGTACAATATATAACTCAAATAAACTTTATGGACATTTATTTTTTCCTCAAATTTTCTAATGAATTTAAATTAAATCAAATTGGCTGTATTGGTAAACATTTCAATAATTTATTTTGCTAAAGCATCGGAGTACACACATTTTTTTTCCCCTCTGTGTCTCGGTACCCACATGCATTAACACTGATTGGACATTCATGCTAAATTAATGTTTTGTTAGTTTTGAAATGGTTTCTGGGGAGCTCTGTAAAGAGGAAGGGCGTTGTTGGTTCCAGTCATTTCCCTTATAAGGTTTTCTGTTGCTTGTCATGTTTTTTTTTCTTTCGAAATTATTGTTTTGCTCTGATTTTAATGTATTCACCTCCTGGAAAAATGCACTTAGTGAACAGCTTAACAACTGCGAGATACAAATAAAAGTTTTTATTATTTTAAATATTGCTCACATTTCAGTTTCGAGTTGGAAAAGAAAATTAAATTGGTACCTAATTATCCTTTTTGCTGAGTTGAGTTTCTTACAGTATACTATGTCGAAATGTACTTTCCAGTTAATTAAGTGTGATAATTCATCCATGTAACTCAATGATTATTTTTGTAGTGCCTAGAATACTCCTTAATGGCACTCAACCATGAACAAGGTATGCAAATGTCTCTTTCAATAAACAATTACATTACATCACATGTTACTTGTTAGACGCTTTTATCCAAACCGACTTACATACTCAATACTCAATCAACTGTCTCTGCAGACTCCCCCCTTTTCTCCAGAATGTATTTTATAGTCTTGATGTGGATTTATACTCTATACAAACACTACCATGACATCTAGTGGGTAATCACGCTCTGTGCAAATTCTGCTCAAAAACTCCTCATTTACTGTCCACTTCAAGATGGCATCTTTTAATTTTACATAGAAAATATAGGCTGTCTAACCTAATGAGGTCAATAGCAGTGTAAGCTCCCACATTACAGGCAACAGGATGAAATGGTCAAAGGTCAAAGGCTTGTATCCCTGATGGCATGTGTAAGGGATTGGTAAAGTGTAGTGGGAAAATAGTTGAAGCCTCACTAGTTGTATATTTTGACCACACCACAAACAGTTTTGCATATATCTGAGATATAAAAATAAGTATAGAAAGATCAATCAGGGAAACATCATGTTTAAATAAGACTGTACGTGGTCAGTAGTAGCCTATCGCACGGGCTGATTCCTGTAGCATTTAATTTAGATTTGATATATTTAAATTGGACTACTTTTAAGACAATACCAATAATTGTATTATTGTCCTACAATTAATGATTTGTATAGGGAGTGGGAACAAGGCAACTGACAGCAGTAGAGGATCAATTACCCCGAAATATAGCTAAATTAACACATTTACTGATACCTGACCCCTTAAATGCATTTTACAATTTGTGGGACCTTGAAGGCCTAGCCTATTCTTTTTGTTAAAATATAAAAATGTTAGACCATTGAGACAACTTTGTGTGTTCGGATCCAAAAGAAAACCAACACAAATAAAAAACTATGGACATCCCACTATTAGGCCTATAATAAAACCACTTGTTGGACTTGATATTAACTATATTTAGGCTATTTAAAAAATAAAATGTTTTGAAACAAGGAGCGTTTGGATTTGTTATTTGAATATGGACAGTTTGGTCTTGGATGTGTTTTGGGAGAGATTTTAAGAATATATCTAGGTCTAGGTATAACAACATATCGTCAAATGTGGACTAAATTGACATTAAAACTACGAAGACTGCTCAAATATCGTATTTGTGAAACTTTGACAGTTGGAGAAGAAGCACCATTTTCCCTCCACAAGATGGCGCCCAGGTCCGCCGTTATGTTTGTTTTTTGAAGCTCCCTCCCTGTCTGAGGCTGACCTTCTTCCCGCGATGACAGTTTCCTGCAGGCTGTCCGCCTCACAGGGAGATGTGCTGAAGGGGAAGACGGGGTTATCTGAGTTAATGCTGCTCGGCATGCTGTGGACTTGAGAGGAGGAGTGATTTTTTACTTTATTTTTTAAAGGGAAGGACGAATGTCGATACTGGTGAGTGTGTTGTTTGATAAAAAAGTAGTTTTTTTCCGGCTAGTGTTTGGTTTACGCAGCTCCGATACGTGTCACTTTGCGGAGAGAACGTCACGAAAGACTCCCTTCAAAAAAATTGGGAATTAAGAGATAATTTGCTTTATTTGTAATTCTACGCACTGTAGGCAAAAACGTATGCACAATTTAGATTTAGTAGAATGTCATCTTGTATTCGGCATATATTTAATCTAGCAAAACACAATATATTTCAGTAAAACATGTACTTTAGTTAACAAATGTACACTTTACGTTGCCGTGTGTTTTGATGGCAGAAGACTGCGGAGGCAGATGTTGAAGCACTTTTAAAAGTCAAAATCTTACAGAAAATAAATTGTGTAGGTGTATTACGTTAATGCCGAATTAAAAACGATTGTCTAACATTACGATTGATATATTACGTTCTCACTTTTGAAGTAGCTACTGCTGACTTTTTCCACAGGTAACACAAATGTGCTAATATTGCAAAGGAGTTTCGTATGACGTCCTCCCATACAAGAAGGTAGACAGTGGAATAACATGTATTAATATGCCATTTGGAAATGTTTTGGAGACTAAAAGAGTATTATTTTAATGCCGTTAGGTAATATTCGGCTCTAATGTGGGTGTTATGTAGTCAACTTTTTACTGCATAGGCTACTTGTTGAAGGGGAGTTACTGTAACATGGAGCCTCAATCTGGGTTAGGCCCGATATCTATTGTAGCCTTTTTAATATACCAATAATTTAAATACTGTTAAATTGTATTTTTGGAACCTATAACATATTTGTTTCACAGGAAGTGAAATATGTTATACATTCACCCCCTGGTGTGCTGTCCTTACACTTCTCATCAGTGTTGGTGGCACTAATCAAATAACCAGTTAGTAAGACACAGAATCTCAATGGTACATTTATGAGCATCAGCAGTTGGCTTGTTTTATTCTGTCATGCTTAATGTTGTTTTATTCCTTTGGGTATAACTACAGCATGACTGTGTCGTCATTTTCTAACCTTTTGAGATAGATATCGTGCATCCTGACCAAAAGTCAAAGAAAACTTTATTGTCAATTTCTCAGAGTGTGCTACAGACAGAGAAATCCAATTGCGCTGGTTACCGTCCCAAAGAATACGAATATATACACATACATACAGACCTGAAAACCCAATCTAATATATACAGATATATGGACACATCATTAAGAGGTATACAATAAAAAAAGAATGCACAACAATAAATGTCTACAAATGATGCTTTGTAGGTTTGTAGGTTTGTTACAAGATTCAAAGATTCAAGATTCAAAGGTTTTATTGCCATATGCACAAAGCTACAGTGTAGAAATGGTAATGAAATTCTTCTGACCTGAGCTCCTCCAACAATGCAACATATATAATAAAATAGAAAATAAAAAGTAGTGCAAAAAGTCTGTATGTAAATAGAATATGATATGTACTTGTACTTGCACTTGAACAGAATATGAAATAAAATAATTTAAATTAAGACAAAATGAAATACAGTTTATTGTGTGGATAACAATTTTACATAGATAAGTATATTGCATGACAAACAGGAATGTTTATCGGGGCACTTAGCAGAGCTCAGGTGTTTTGCAGACTGTATAACTTTTCGTGTTTTTAAAATGTCTTCCAGTGGTGAAATGACTAACAGGATGGAGGGTTCTTCGGCCCCAAGAGCCAAGGCGAACGGACCCATTGCAGCGCCCAGCAGCCCAACAAGCTCCAACATCGGTCCGCCACTGTCCCCAGAAGACCTGGACGACGGGCCTCAGTCTTCTCTGACTGATGTCACCCAAATGTGGATTATATTCGTCAAGACTTTCGCCATCATCTTGCCCATCTACATCATGGGATACTTTGAGTTCAGCTTTAGTTGGGTTCTGATTGGACTCGCCATGTTGTTCTATTGGAGGAAAAACCACGGCACTAAGGACTACAGGATAAACCGAGCCTTAGCATACCTGGACCATGAGGATAAAGTATTGAAGCAGAGTGTGCCTACTTCGGATCTACCACCATGGGTAAGTCTTCCAGTGTTGTTACAGGAGTTTCAGGCTTCACCCCTCCCTTGGGCGTTCTTCCACCCTGCATGATGGGGATGTCAACATTGAGTGTCCGCCTGCCAAACTGGCTGATAGGGATAACCTGCCACAACCAAAATTTAACTAGTTAGTCTTCACTCAAATGAAATGCATGTATTTTTCTCTTAGGGAAAACCTTGGATAGCACTATCCTACTTTCTTAGTTTGAGAAAAACAGATTTCTTGAGTATGTTTCCACATTTAAAGAAATCAAAGGACGAGACAAGTACCTTGTCATTTCCTTGTTTGGGTTTGTTAGCCTTTCGAAACTCTTGCGTGTGATGTGTTGAAACTGGATTATTTAGCTGGTCTTAATTAAACTCATGACACTTGTTGTTGACTAACACTCAGCTGCAAACCTTTTGTTGGTGAAAAAGAAGTTTTTGAGGGAGTTAAGCTTGCAACAAATAGAGAATAATTAACAGTTTTTGGCAGTTGGCTACTCCCGAAGGGCCAGCAATATGAAACGATAAATTACCAACTTAATTTCTTGTCTTTGGATAATATTTCCTGGTGTTTAACCTACAAAGACCAATATGTTGGCAATCAGGGATAAAAACATGCATCATTCATCTCTAATTTCATTTGAATCTACAGGACAAAACAAATGTGGTTGCTCCTTAATGATGGTCTCATTAATAGCCTCCGTAAAGGTCACCCATTTTGCAGACAAGCTCCCCATCAGTTCTATGAACTAATCAGTTTTTTAGCATTTCCATCGTCAGAGGCACCCGAAGGTGTTGGGAGTCTTCAATGAATAATTAACACATGGCACCACAGGGTGCCCGACGCTGGCACTGGTAAAAGCAGGAGAGCCATCAAACCTGTTTTTAATGTTCACTTTCCGTGTTCTTCCCCCTTGGCGTGGTTCCCTGTGACACATTTAGAAAGCTGTGTGAAGGAATAGGAGGTCGACTTGCTTCACGGCTACAACATAGCTGCCATTCTCCGTCTCAACATGTGCAAGCTTATCCTGCAAAAAATGTTAGTTCCCAAAGTGCAAGAAGGAATGGAGAGGAGGCACAGTGAGCCAGTAACATTTGCTTGTCAGAGCTTACTTTGAAAATGATCTCTTTCGGTCCGTGTTGGCTGAGAGTACAACGCTTTTCCCACAGCCTTTTTTTTTTTTAGAGCAGGGCAATAGATAGAAGACTTTAGTTCAGTAATTGTTCCATTTATGATTTTCAAGCCTCGTTAAATACGCATAACACTTAAGTAGTTTTCAAATTGTGTTATTCTGTAGGGCCATAAAGTCAAATTGACCTGAACAATCTCTGATCTTCCTTTTTCTAGTGAAGGCCAGACGATAACACAGAATTCAGGACAAATTGTTTTCATTTTGATCGGTTGTGTGTTCGACCTATCTCTGCATTCATGATAGAAACGTAATATTGTGTAGTTCACCTTCACAAAACCAATGGTCTGATTGGATATTGGAGCTTTTCGCTGCACACATTTGCATTTTGAAAAAAGGCTGATATCTTTAAGACTACAAATATTTGTTTTAGCAAATGTAATAGACCAGTTTAATCAACATAATAAAGCCGCTATTAAGTATATGGATTTTGTTATTGCTACTCTAAAAACAAGTTTATTTATATACAAGTATTATGTTGACCTTGGTACCATAATCCGTTATTTGTAAAAGTGCCACCTTTTTAAAAGCACTCCTGCTGAGTGAATTGGAGCATTTTAAAGTGACCTTACTTTCCCAGTTAGTCTTAGAGTTTTCATTTTGACTATTGCTGGTGTTGTTCCACATTAATTTAATAGTGTCAACAATTATGTCAACAAAATGTGTAGTTGAACATCAATATTAGCAGCAACCCACACTTGATCTATCTATACCATCATATTTTATGTGGTCTATTTTTTAATTGTAATTATGAAGCATTTCATACCAGACCCTTTCAGTGACTTAAGAGATTTAGACAGTGCCTCGGTAATAAAGAGGTTCCCAGTCTGCCATAATATTTTAGTTTATGGCTGATGACGCTGGAAAAACTGTGGGAGGCTGAGTGGATGGCAGGCTGCCAGCGGGACTCAAACCCAGCCACAAAGCATCCCATCAACACATCCATTATCACACAGACCTTGAGAAACACACAGGGCTCAGCAATAGAGTGGTGCAGTGATGACGTGTTTTTGTAGGCTGACCATAACACAAGGGCTCCCTCCATTAAAACACAATGGGATTTTCCATTGGCTTTTTATGTTTTCTGATTCTGATACTGATATATTTTGTTCAGAAGGATAATCTCCACATATTAACACCACTTTGTAATTGTTGTAAATGCAATCTCCAGAAGTAAAATGCTAAACTTGGCTTTAAACAAACTACATCACGGTCACATGACACATCACCACCGCTTACCTTAAGGCGGATAATGTTCTGCGTGATGACATTTAGTCTTTGTTTTTTCCATTGGTTTTCGCTAAAATTGCAGAATATAAGCTCTGTGTCAAAAAAACGTTTATGATGCTTACACGTTTTGTTCAGCAGGATAATCTCCAAATATTAACACCACATTATGATTTCTGAAGTAAAAAGCTAACGTTATGCTATAAAGGAACTACAGCACGGTCGCATGACTACACAACACCACCGCTAAGCTAAAGGTGGCTAATGTTGGGCTATAAAGGAACTACAGCACGGTCACATGACTTCACGTCACCACCGCTAAGCTAAAGGTGGCTAATGTTGGGCTTGATAAAGGAACTACAGCACGGTCACATGACTCCACCGCTAAGCTAAAGGTGGCTAATGTTGGGCTATAAAGGAACTACAGCACGGTCACATGACTTCACAACACCACCGCTAAGCTAAAGGTGGCTAATGTTGGGCTATAAAGGAACTACAGCACGGTCACATGACTTCACGTCACCACCGCTAAGCTAAAGGTGGCTAATGTTGGGCTATAAAGGAACTAC